GCAAGAATTCTGTTCTCTGATATATTTTACACCACTCGACGTGCGTCTGTGGCTGGCAGCTGGCGCTAAAATTTATCGCTCAACTTATGAGGGAATAAAGTAAAGTTAAGTAAATCCAAATGAATTTTTTGGTATTAACTATAGCATGGCTGAGTGGTGAACCCCGCCTGGCCGCTAGCAATTAATTAACGGCAATGAGAGATGTTGCCGTTGCCTTTATGGCAACTAATGTGCGTTGCTTTTCTTTCTTTATGTTGCAGCAGCAGCAACAACAACAACAGCAGCAACAGCAACAACAGCAACAACAGCAACAACATATTGCCGCATTATTTGTACGTTTTTTGCTTGGCTCGACTGGCCAATGTCTGGCTAATTTTCTATTTATTTGACCGCACAACGTGCATCCCCGTCTGACAGCAGCTGTGTGTTGTGTGTGCTGCACAATCAGTCTAATTTATGAGTTTCTTGCACTTTCAGCCCAAAACGTTAAAGAGTCTGAATGTTAGCTTTAACTGTCGCTGTTCTCATTCTGTTTAGGTTAGTTTTATTTTTTTTGTGCTTAAAGTTTGAATTCGTGTGCCTGACCACCGCACCCAGGTCGCCTGTCGCAGCCAGAACTAGTTTAAATCCACTCACAACTTCACTAGACGCGGACTCGATTCGCTTTGAATCTCGCTCATCAACTTGAATTGACTCTAATGACATTCACGTTTTTCTATTGCATTTCGAATGCCAATTGCCAATTGGCTGGCACACGCCTGCCTTGCCGCCTGCTTGGCTACTGGGCTTAAAGTTCAGCGCTGGAGCTATAACTGGGCAGCTGGGGCTGGGCTGCTCCTTGGCCCGTGCGTGTTGTCATTGTTGTATGTTGGAGAGCTGGTGTGTTAAGAGACCATATTGTAGCTGGAACTGATCTCATCTGACATGGCCTTTTAGCTATGATTTATGTTGCGCTATTGTGATTCAAGTGCATTTTTCTCTTTGTCATACACTTGCCTAGAGTATAACAATTGTGTGATGTAGTGTGCAATGCATTTAAACAGCCCTTAAATTTTATATATACGAATCAGATGACTATATTATATAGGTGCCAAAGTTAGACGACGATTCAGCAGCTCTTGATTACTTCAATCATCCTCAGCATTCTATATTCTGACTATTATGCTTTTACTTTTCTCGTATATCTAAAAGGGTATTTGATCTTCGACAAGCCGAAAATATTAATATTTCCTCTCATTTGTTAATGTTTAGAAGTGCTTGTCGTCATGTGGGCCGCTTAGCAATTGTGGTTTGTTGCGGGCGCATTTAATTAGCTCGTGTGTTGGTCTTTAAAAAATGCGATATTATTAGTTATATTGTTTTTATTATTATACAATATTTATTAATTTGTGCTTGAGCAAGACACGATTGCGGCAACAGTCAAGCTAAATACATGCATAAATTTGTATCTGTGGCAGCGCCAAGAAATGCATAAATTTCTTTTATAAACACATTCCTATCGATCATTTATTCATGGTTTAAATGTAAATTATGGTCCACTGTTGTTGGACTACAATTTGCGCAATTAATTGCGCGCAAATTTTGCAAAATGGCCACAAATTTTGTTAGCTGTTGCCGCAATTCGATATTGGCTGAAGATTGCACCGATCTGATATGGGATAAACGGCCAGCCAAATGGCCATATTGGGCCAAAGCAACAACAGCAATTAATAAGCGTAGATCGGCAGCCAACAAACCAAACACTCGACTACAATCGTTTGGTCTCACATTACACATTAAAAACTTGTTGCTGCTGCCGGGTGGAAATTGTTGAATGCATTTAATGCCATTAATCAATTTGCAGTCGACGGCTATTTTCGTGTTCGATGCTCTGGCGATTTGCGGTCAGTTTGTGGGAGAGCAACGCTTAAAAGTGGTTTCGCCTATTTTATTCATGTTGGCCAGTAAACACCCGCTATAGCGAACTAAATAGACACGCTAAACTCATTGAGCAATTAAACGACATTTGAAACTTCGAAAATTTTAAATGCTTAAACTGTTGACTTTGGCATGTAAATGAGATTTGCTTGAAAATAGTATTATATCAATCGGTTCTGGGATTTCTGAATTAATGCATATCAACAAATATCGACAATTGGCATTAAAAAAGCTGTCGGTTCTCATAAAAATACATTACAATTTTGAACATTTTTCAGTTTGCTTTGTTCAGTCTACGCTGTTTTTCGTATTGAATTACCGATCATTTTTATATGTTTGAAACTTTTGTTGTAAGCCAAAGTTTCCTTTCCATTTACTCAAATATCCGAAAAACCAAATTCGACATAATCTTAATAAATTGCCAAAAATTTGCAGTGCGTAACTTAATTTTGTAGCTTAGCTTGAGTTTGCGGAAAACTAAATATGAAAATGCTTATCTAAATTTGTATTTCTCAGACTGCACCCACAATAATCGACTAAAATAGAGTTGTGAGCGAAATGAAAGTAAAAAGTAAATTAGAGATAAATTATTTGCAGTTTTGTTTTTATTTTTTCGTTGTGGCTTCAACTTTGCCATTTCGAATGGGCAATCCAATAAATGGCTTCCTCGCAATCACAATGATTCAGTTTTTGTAGTTTTGTTTGTGTTTTGGCTTTTCCTGGAGGCTACAAATTGGCAGGTAGCTAATGCTTTGTTGCTCTCCAGCCTACTGTGTGTGCGAGTGTGTGTATGTGTGTGTGTGAATGTGTGTGCCTTTTGAAAAGTTCAAGCCCGAGGCTGGCTGTCTAGATTTTAGGGGCGTGGACTTGCCGGCTGCCGCTCTGTCTAACCAAGTAGCCCAAGTGGCAAATTTAATCAATAACCAGCTATGGAAATCCAATTGCAATTGCAATTTTTGCAACTAACAAAAAAAATATATAAATATATGTGCACAGTGTACACTAGACAGCGCATATGGAAAATTGAATTTGAATTTTGGTTTTGGTTGTGTCGCGAAATTGATGTGAAAAACGTGAGTTGCGGCAAATGCACGAAAATTATGTACCTCTCCAACTATTTGGTATTTATTTATATGTATTCCGATATTTATGGCTAGGTGTGGCCCAGCAACAGCAGCAACAACAGCAACAACAACTGCAATTAAATTATCAAAAATATCAACAATTCAAGTTATTTGACAAATTCAATAGGTTTCTCATGGCAGTTGGCGCCTGTTGTTATTAAGGTTGATCGTTTTTGGCATTTAATGCAAGTCGGCCAGCTTATTATATTGATCGCTTGTATTGACAAACGGAAGAGGCATACGAATAGTCAATAATTGGAAAAAAAATAAACTATTCATTTGCCTGACAACAGACCTAATTAAAATATTAAAACTAAGGTATGACATACATATTGAAAAATGGCTTTATATATAATTATGTATGCATGTTAAAAAACTCGTTTGTTCTCAAATTTGTTTGAATATAATGCAAAATTTGAGCTACAAAAAAGTCAATAGTAAAGCGTTTTTGCAATAAAAAACTGAAAAATTTATTGGCAGACGCTTTTGGAAGACTATTTGAAACTATTTTTGTCAATTTTAGCATAATATTAAACATATTTTGTCGCACGTTTAAGTTATTTTGCAAAAATCAAACATTTGAATACCCTGTAAGCACTAGGATTTAAAACAAAGGGCATATAGGCATTAAGCAGCGGAATGTAACAGGCCGAAGAGAATTAAGAACTTAAAAATTTGTATCATGAAGTGCATGTATGTTAAAGGTCACTTAAGCTCGGAATACAGGGTATCTACTAGTTAAGCAACGCACTGTAACAGGCAGAAAAATGAATTTAGAGTTTAAAAATGTTTATAATTAGCAGCACATGAATTAAAGGTTACTCTATGTTAGAATACTGGGTATCTACTAGTCGAGCACTTAGCTATTTCGTGACAATGCTAAATATCGGAAGCAAACGACAACAAGTTTGCAACTCAATCTATTTGATGCTCCACAATTCATACGCCCCGTTGTAAAGAGCATTTTGCCGCTGTTGCAACTGCTTTGTGTGTCTGCCTGTTTGCCTGTGTGTGTGTGTGTGTGTCTGTTTGTGTTGCAAGCGCATTGCTTGCACCAAATTGAAGCATTTCACATTTTTAATTTGTACGTGATAGGGCAAATAGTTGCCACTCGATTTTGTACGAGGATCCGAGCTCCACTCGCTCTACGCTTTGCTGCCTTTGTTTGAGCACAGAAATTATGCAGCAATTGCCATGGTGAAGAGCACTAGTTGTTGTTATAGTTGTAGTTGCTGTTGCTGTTGCTGTTGCCCCTTCATGTTGCATGCTAACGCTGCAGACAAATTGTCTCTCGTGTCTGCTATGTCTGGCAGCACTTAGCACGTGATTGAAAATTGCAACGGAATGAAGTGATTCGAAGCAATGCAACAACAAATGCAGCAACAACAAAAAAACTTGCTCTCGTTTTGGTTCTTATTGCTTGCAATTCATTTCGCATTTTTCGCCTCACTTTTTTGTATTTAATTTGATTTGAGCTGCAGGTTAGCAAAGTCGAGATTGTTTCGTAGACAAACAAGTTGGCTAAAAATTACAGACATTTTATTTATTTTTCTAACATTTTACTCTTTGTTTTTGGCATTAAAAGCAAATTTACAAATTAGTGTGAAATTATGGACAAGAGTACATAAGAGCAGTTCAAATAACAACAACAAGCAATTTGGCCGAAAAAAAACAAAGAAAAACAATGTCAGAAAGCAAACTCACCGAAAATAAAAGCTGCTAAAACAGTATGTAAAGAAAATAAAATAAATTAAAAAAGGCGGCAATCAAATACTCTTTATATCATATTTAAATACTTATTTCTAGAACTAGTAAATATAATTCAAATATTTTTTACTATAAAGTCAAACGAATTAAGCTTTTATGAAATATGGTTAGTTGTGATTATTATTTTTATTGTATATTTATATATATATATATATATATATATATATATATATATATATATATATATATATATTTTTTTTTTTTTAACTTTGTTTAAGTAATGAGATTTTCAGAAGGTTTGTATATAAGATGTCAAAAAAATTTGGAATTTTGAATTTAAAAAAAACCTTTTAACCAAGATATGCCTAATACAGTTAGAAAACCGAACCATCATAGTCTATTGACTGTTCCCATTTACATCTGAGTCGTAATGAGTAGACAATTAACCAAAAGTAAATGCTACACACTGAAAAGATATAGAAATATATAAATATTCTGAGTATATGCTATAAGTACATACAAATTCCAAAAGTTGACAACGTCACAACATAAATACAACGAACACATCGCAAAGCCCAGAGAATGAGGTATGTAGTGCTGGTAAAAACGTGTATGCCATTTGTTACCAAATAAACCATCAAAAAGCTAGGCGATTTCTATACGTTTTTTTTTATTTCAATAAGTATATATAATATATATATATTGAATATTGGGGCTTACTAAAATGATGCCCATGAGCAGAAAAACGGTGCCAATCAGGTGCGCCATATAACCGATGCGTAACACTATCCAAAAGTGATTATTTTCAGACCCTGTCAGAAGTGTTTTAGCCTTAAGCGAACTTTCCGATTGAGCGCAACTCACATTCACCCAGGCAAAGACCGCAGACAGCAAAAAAGAACTCGATCGCATAGATTATGACACAGCCACAGCGCAAATCGACACAACAACAACAGCATTTCTTTAATTTCAGAATATTCATTGTTTGTTAGTGTTTTAAAAAGAAACCACATGAAACAAAAGTCATGGCCTAGCTATAATGCCCTGATGTAGGCTGTGAAGTATATGCACAACACAAGTTGTACATGTAATTTCTAGCAAGGTCAAAGTCAGCTGCTTTCAACCAAAATAAAACCAAACAAAGGCCCAAAAAATAAAAAACTAAAACCTTGTATATACTGGTGTGTTATATGTTGTTTAATATTCTAATTTAGCCTTTGTTCTGAGTTGCTTGAGATGATGGGGCGGGATGTGGCGGGCGGGGCAGGGCACTTCGCTGCCAACTCCAATTTGACAAGACGAAGTTTTGTTGCTCGTCGCCTATAAATTACAGCTCGCTCAGCTGGAGCCTATTCTACTTATTGCTTATTGCGGGTGCTTGGCATTTAAATGGAGTATATACGCTATATAAATGTGAGTATATATGCTACCCACTTACCTTTGCGATATACCAATGAATAAAATAACCATTCAAACAGCTTTTAATTAACAGTCAGCACTCAGCCACAGTGAAAAAAAAAAATACACCAAAAAATTGGCAATCAGCAACGCACGTGCGTTCGGATCCCCCGAAAAAGAAAAGAAAAAAAAATATACAGAAATTAAGCCGAGAGCACAGCCATTAAAATTCATTAGCCATATGCACATCGGCCGCGCTTTTATTAATAAACAATAAAACACATTAAAGAAACCCAAAAAATAAAAGAAAAGCAAAATGAAACGCAACGAATTTATGAATCTTGGCAACGGGCAGCTGCATTGCCAATTTCAATTGGCCAGCGAGTCAATTAACAGCGAGTTAAATAAATTAAAAAAAGGCCAAAACGATTTTACTACAAATTCGGACGCGCTCTGTTATGGGCGTGGCCGATTGCGCTAACCCACCCCAGTTATGGGTATTACCGCTTGGTTAAGGGTACGACTATAGATCAATTAACTTAAATGTAGTCGATGGGCACTTTATCAATAATTATGTGGCTTGGCACATATGCCTCACTTTTTATTATTATAGGAAATTACAATATTATCAATATCATACATACTTATTATAAAATTTTTTTTTTTGTATTTTTTATTACTTGAAACTTATTATAATACATATACATATGTATATACATATATAATACATATATAATATTATTTTCTAAAATAATACTTATATTCATTTTGTTTGCTTATTTTTCTCAAATATTACTAATTATATTGTATTATTAGTTATATTATTTTTATATATTTTTCTTTAACAAGATTTTGGATGTATTCATAATAAATGTTTATAATATATTTATTATGTATTTATTTTATTTGGTCGTATGTACATATATTTAAATATTTAATTAGAGTATATTGCATTTGTTTTGTCTTACTATATTTTTATTTATTTACTATTTATTTTAAGTATTTTTTTTCTTTCCTTATTAATTATATTTTTTTTTTTTATATTTCACTTTCCTTTTAAAAAATAAAAAGTTCTTTAACGCTCCTCTGTTGTCATTATGTAATTAAGTATCGTCGCAAACTTGCCTTTTGCTTGCCTTAATTGTGTAATTGTTTAAAAATAAATTACAATTTCGCTTTAAACGCGCGTTGATAAGCGCGCATATGACTAATTTTTGCTGTCCCACAGCAGCGATCGCTGCCTACGAAGGGGTTGAACTGGAAAGGGGGCGGTGGGAGGGTCACGTAGACATTCGGTCTGGTATTCTTTTTAATTTATTTGTTATTTTTTTTGTTGCTCTAGTTTGTGTTATATAATTGAGGTACGAAAAGAGGTGTAAATATAAATAACATATATATTATATTTGATATATATACACAAAAAAAGAAAAGCTCTAGTGTGCGCTGGATTTATACCCTGTAATTAATTAGCTGGGCATAAAATGCAGTATTGGCTGCCTCAAGGCCTATCAAAAACTTCTTGGATAACATAAACAAATATGTGATCATATTAAAATGTTCTATATCGAATAGAATAATGTTAAATTAAGAATAAATATTTCTATATAATAGGAAAATAATATTATTATTTCTAAAGTTTTTGAAGAGCGAATTATGATATGATAGATAGATATGAACATAGATGATTCATTGTATATTACAAATTATTCCTATGTATATATTTAATTAAATCAAATACTTAATTTAAAATTTTAGATAGGTAATTGATATTTGTTAAGGGTATGCGATGACTGGCTCAAAGCTGATCCTCAACAAAAACGGGTGACTAAAAAGAAAAGCGTTCGAGTTGTTTACTATTTTCAATATTCAAATAGATGTCGAATGCATGCATATATAGTTATGCCTGTGTGTGTATGTGTCCATATATAGAGTTAATCGTTTTGCAGCACTTAAAGTTGAGTGTTTAAAAATAGTCTCGGCTCTCTAGTGGACGTAATTGTTATTGCGCTAATTCGATAAGGGGCGTTACTCGGTTCAAGTTCAGTGGGTGGGCGGAGGGCGGTTGCTGCTATATAGAAGGTTGTTTGTTCTCTCTCTTTCTCTCTCTCTCTCTCTCTCGCTCGACTTAAAGATAACACATTAAATTGTTGCGTTGATAATATTTGCACAACAAAAACAATATTTTAATCTATTCAATGTCAAGGTCAGCCGAGACATTCACAACAAGAAATTCGTTTGTTTTTGCTCTCGTCATTTCTTTTTTTCCGCTTTTATTTTTCATATACTCTCCCTCTGTTTATTTCTTTGCTTGTCTTTTTTTTATTGTATATATTTGCACATTTTTTTTGTTTTGTTTTATTTTTTTTTTTTATTGAGTATTGTTGATAACTTTATTTGCTTGGGCATTATACACATAAAAAAAAAACCATGAAATTCTTCCAATGTCCGTGACAAAGCACAAAACCAGCAACAACAACAGAAAACTCAGCTTTGGGTATAAAATTTGTTTTGTATTTTTATTTGTTTTAATTTTGACTCAGCTGTTTGTTTTTGTTTTATTTATAAAACTTTTACGATATTTGCTTTACTTTAGATTACCTAATTGTTCTTTCCTTTTATTTTTGCCATTTATTTTTTTGAATATGAAATATTATTCAAGAATTTCAAATGACGCAAGCACAAAAAATGTCTTAAATTAAGCGTAGATAATCTAGTTTTGTGATATGCATTGGCAAATATTGCCCTTTTGGTAACGCTTAGCTCATATTTAACAGCTGTTCTTGTGCCTTTCGGCCAAGTTTAAAACGGCACGTATTACCTTAACGAAACCGAAACATTTTTAGGGCGGGGCACCGCTTGTCGTTGGTCTCATATCGAAATACGTGTGCTTCATGGCAAAAAGGAAATCTTTATCTGGCTGAGACGTCACTTTGTGCAACAACCCATATGCAATTTCCGTTGGCTGTCAGCTGTCAATATTCGATATGCAATTCCATGATGCGAACAGCGTAAGAATATTGTGAGAAGAAAAATGCTGTCATAAAATATACAATGTATATATTTATTTATGTTGTATACGCATATTATGCATACCCTGCATATTGTGCTGAAATAATGAAAAATAACAATAGCACATTGATACTATGATACCTCGCATTAAGGAACTGGAATTAATCAAAACTCTTTGGTTTGCCTTAAGTATGGCTACATCTGTATATCCTTGTAGAGTGTATTATGATTTTGTCAAGAAATTTGTAGTGCGTATTAAAAGAAGTAATCTTCGACCCCGTATAGTATATATATTCTAGATCAGAATCAAGAGCAGATTTGCTGTCCGTCCGTCTGTTTCTATGCGCACCAGTCTCTCAGTTGTAAAGCTATCGTCTATCGTCTATGGTTGGGTTCATTTTTCTGTTTGCAGGTGGTACATGTGTCACAAATGACCGGATCAAATCACTATATCATATAGCTGCCATAGAAACGATCGGTTAAAAAATAGCTCTTGGATGTCTAAATATTCTGTGTTCTAAGATATTGTCATTAAACACATATCGGCAAATGATTGCAATGGTATTAAATGTTTGGCCGAGTATATCCTTACTTTCTCTAGTGTTTTATAACATACTCAGATATATTTGTTATAGCCAGATACGAGATATCCGCAGGTCGAGCATTAATCTTAGTTTACATATACATCTTAATATATATTTATACCTATTTGATTTTGTTTCTATATCGCATTTGCTTCTATTTCCATTTACAGCTCCACCTCTGGTTGCAACGGTATCTTCTCACGTCGCTTGGATTTCTCATCATTCAACTTGCTGCCAAAGACGCGTTTGAATTCTTATCAAGTTAAGGTGAGTTATTGCTGTTAAATCTATAAAATGTATACTATACCCTTTATGTATAATCGAATGCGAGCTGTAAACACTTAAATTGAATAAGTGGAAAAATTTTATTTTTCGCGCTATTTTCTCATTAATCAGCAGTAGCTGTGACTCTAGCTGACTCTGGCTATTTGTACACACTCATTCACTCGCTACTCACACTTATTCACATTTCTGATTGCTGCATTCATTCACAAATGGCCAATTCGCTGGGTATTCAGTTCTTGGAAAACTACACACATGTGATAAGATGTCGAGTATAGAAAATAGAAAAAACTGCCTGCCTTGACAAACTAGCAATTGGATACGGTCTTGGGACAGGGCATGGATATGGCTTTTATAGCTTGCGGTAGGGGAGGAGAGGGTGGGGCGGCTTGTTGTGGCATTGTTTGCATAGCGCAAAACTTCAGATAATTTGCAGATGTTGTTCCACAGCAAAGGAAATGACAAAATTAACTTGAAAAGCAGTACAAGAAAATTGCTGGCTACGTTTTTTGTCTTCTTTCTATTTTCATATATGTATACAAATATATTTTAGGTGTCACATAAAACAGATAAAATGTGTCAGTTTGTTGTGAGAAGCGCACAGATATGAAAAGAAAATAGGGCATTCGTTGGGGCATTTAATAAAAGTTAACTAAAGTTATGAACTTTTAAAATATATGTGTTTAATGTAAGAGCAGTCAAGTATTGAATAACTTAAAAGATATATTCTCTCTATGAGTATTTTATTGATTTAAGGTATAAATAAGG